TACCAACCTTGTTTATGTTCAAAATAAGGGTTTATTATTATCGTATAATCAAACAAATAAATGTATCATCGGAGTCCACTCTGAAAAACAACAATATAGTCAACAACATAATTATGCATCATTCTTTATTGTTCTTATTGTAGGTACATTTTCTTAAAATACAACATATTGTTTCTTTTTATAATTTTGTAAAATCTTTTATTTAACATAACATTCAAAACTATTGCAAATTGAAAAATTATTGAAGTCCGGACCATTCTGATATGGTGTCCCAGATGGTGTTTACTGTTGGATTATTTACAACAACCCAAATGTCTCTATTGTTAAGAGTAATTCGGGTACCCGACTTAAGATTTACGACAGTTCAAATATCGTGACGAGAAGTATAAGTCTCATATTTTTAATGTCATCTTAATTTCAACTCTAAAAGACATCACTTTGATCAGAACTTTAATTAAACGCATCGTATAAAATAACAAATTATCTTGAATACACATTTTCTAAGTGATAACAATGTTTTCAACATCGGTGACAAATATTTAAAGATTTATTTTTAGCAACCTACTAAAAGAGATTAACAAACTTCCGTCATTTCTTTTTTAATTTTTGACACACTAAACTAAATTGTCATCCATTAAACACAATTAGCTATAGGAAAGCCCTTTAATCAAAGAAAAATAAATTTCCATTTAACGAAAGCAAACATAATTTATCCATACAACAGGAAGCTTTAAATACCCGATGTTAAAGTCGACCATAATAAATACAAACGTCCTAAAATGATTCTCACTGACCTTGAGTGGATGGGATAGGTCCATATTGATTTTCTTTCATTTGCAACAAATTAATTTATCATTACTGGAAATGATCTAAATTCAATGCTAGTCACAAAATACTAGCTTGAGTAAGAGTTTATTCATAATCACTAATGTAATATGCCGATTACTAACCTTTAAAAGGTTGTGAAACACATCATTAAATCTCATGAGGAGTAATAATATTACTTCTCTTGAGCGGTAATATGCAGGTTAGCCAACCTTAAAATTACAAAAATACCGGGAATTTTTTCTTTCAAATTGTCAAGTTACGCATAATATTTTGCTAAATTAGTATTCAATTGCTTTTGTAGCAGTTTCTCTTATTTCTGGGGGAATACACTGCCCCATTTCGACGATTTTAAGTCAGATTCACACATTATTTCAATATTTTCTTTGACATTTCTGAAATGTCAAAAATCATTTGGATGGCCTACCACGTTTGGACCTTAACTTTGTGAGAATTTTATTTTGCTCAAATTTTTAACTGTACAAACCTCGGTGGTAATGGCATTACCCCTTGTGCTTTATCCGACTCGGGGTAATGCCATATTTACCACCTCGCTTGTAATGTACTATTTATTCTAAAATAAATCAGTTTGAGTTATTTCAATTTTTCTCGATTTTAATACAGAATTAATTCGAAATTAATGTATTTTATAAAAACAATTTCTTCAAATTTTTGTGAAAATTCCAGTTTGACAACGTGGAGCACCTCGAGCCCAGCCTCCACAACCTAACCGGCGTCGAAAAACGCCTCGAACGTCGCCGTTTACACTTGCAAAAAGCTTGCAAATTACTGGGTTTAAACGTCCCCGGCAACGATTCCCTTCATAAACCCAACCCTTGGGAATTCCTCGTCGACACCAAACACCATCTCGTGTGGTGCAACGTTTTCAAAGCTGCAAGCACCTCGTGGATGTACAACTTCAACATTCTTGCAGGGTACGTCTTTCCTGAGTCCAGAATATCTAAACTCATCTCGTGCTCCTCACAGGTACTCTCCAAATTTTCTCAAAAAGAGCAAAGTGGTGCCCCTTAGCTTGGCCCGACAGAAATATCCTCGTCCGTCTCTCCCGTTTTTAAAAAAAGCCTTCAATAATTCGGTTTCATTTTTAATAACACGACATCCACTGGAGAGACTCCTTTCAGCGTACAGAGACAAGCTAATGTTCGCTTTGCCTCACACGCACCACAGAAAATTGGGAAACGAGATCATCGTTAAGTACCGAGGGAAAGTTAAGGTAAGTGGCGGTAAAAATCATTTTTTTCAACTGTGAAATTAAGATGTCTCCAATAAGAAATATACAGTATGTCCCCGGATTGAGTTTACAAGAGAAAAAAAATTATCTTTGATTTTACACCAAAACTGCTAAGGAAAAACATTTTGCTTTAACTGAAACGAGCAAATCTGTAATTAAAACTTGATTATTCTAACTCAGCACAAAGAAAAGTTCATTTTTCTCTTAATTTTGGATTTTTCTCTGCTTTTTAAATCTCACCACATTGGCGGTTTTATTTCTTTGACAATGATGTCACTTTGACAAATGAGTTTTCGCAAGTTAAATAACAAAAATGTTTGTGAAAAACATAATTTTGATAAATATCAACTCAAAAAACAGCTTTAAAATTAAAAAAACCGTCGTCTGCGTAGATTGACAGTAATAAAAAGTCTACGCCATGTCAAAAAAATGGCCGTTGGGGGAGCGACAAGTCCGCGCTCCAATGGAATCTATTGTCGTATCAACAAGAAATTACTCCCTAGGATTTAGGGATATTCGTGAATAGGTTGTCATAAATTTGGTTAGGTTGGTTTCTGGTGACAAACAAAAGATATCGTAACTCATGTCAAAATTTAGGTTAAGTCACCTGTCAGCTTGAATGGAGAATTTAATTGATAGTTGACAGCAGGGGTAACTAATCCTAGACATTCAAAATTACTTCTGAAATAATACAGAGTGGTTATAAATGATTTTCATCTAGCCAGCTTTGGAAATTTTTTGCATGTAACTTTATTTGTGCCGCTCTACTTTTTTGAAAGCTCTAGTTCTGTCATTAGTGTCACTTATTAATTAATAATAAATTATTGTTAATTAAACTTTTATTGTTTCAAGCAATTTCCAATAATAATTGATAATAATGTATACTTTGGAAGAAAACAAGTGTATAGTTGTAGTCTATTTTCGAAGTGGACGCTTAGTAAAAGGCGATTTTTTTATTTTGAGTTAGAACAAGTAGGTACCCCTATTTTCGTAAAGCGGCATTTTTTATTTTACATGGAAAATTCTCAGCAGGCTAGATGAAAATCGTTTATAACCACTCTGTATAATAAGAAAATTGACAGTTCTGTTATTTTTATTAAAGTTTGAAACAATTTTTTTTTTATTTTACATGGAAAATTCACAGCTGGCTAGATGAAAATCATTTATAACCTCTTTATATAATAATAGTATTGTTG